GGCTTTCAGTCTTTCCCCATTGAGTATGATGTTGGCTGTGGGTTTGTCATAAATAGCCTTTATTATGTTGAGGTACTTTCCTTCTATTCCCATTTTGTTGAGAATTTTTATCATAAATGGATGTTGTATCTTGTCAAATGCCTTCTCTGCATCTATTGAGATGACCATGTGGTTTTTATTCTTTGTTTTGTTGATGTGATGTGAAGAAGATTAGCCCTGAGCTAACATCTGTTGCCAATCTTCCTCTTTTTGCTTGAGGAAGATTGGCCCTGGGCTAACATCCATGCCCATCTTCCTCTACTTTATATGGGATGCGGCCACAGCATGGCTTGACAGGAGAGAATTGGTCTGCGCTGGGGATCCGAACCTGTGAACCCTGGGCTGCCGAAGCAGAGCACGCGAACTTAACTGCCACGCCACCAGGCCGGCCCCTGTATTTTTTAAATTTATAAGCATATATTATTTTATAATTTAAAAAATTGGTTAACCTAGGCATCTTCTACTCCTCTCTGGCAAAACTCAGAGATACAAATTCACTGAGTCCCCAGCCGACTTCAGTGTCTGGACTAATTGTGCTTTGTGATGCTTCAGGGAATTTTGGAGGAAGTGAGGCAGGGATGGTCCTCAGTGCTCCAGGACTCAGTCACTGCCTCTATGTAAAGCTGCTATGCCAGGGAATGACAGGTCATAAAGCTGAGAGAGTCTGCCCTTCTTAAATAGGCCAACCTAAAAAAAGGGATGGTGGGTTCTGAGGGAAAACAGAACAAGCTAAAAACTTAAGGATTCTCTTGGAAGACTGCAATTTATTTCCGGAAAAATTTTCTTTGTTGCATAAATTATGTATTTAAGTGTCCCATTTTTCACCCCCCCCCTTTGTGATCTGGCAGTCATCCTGCAATTACATTGGTCCTTCTTCAAGCTGGCTTTAGGTATATATAGCATTTGCATATGACAGACCAGCAAGAGGCTTAAAAATAAAATAGACTGATGGGAAATAATCCAGGGCAAGATAAAGAGAAGACAAAAGAGAGGTGAGTGCGTGTACATATATCCAAGACCAAGTCAGGTCCTAACAAACATCCTTTAGCTCATGATGCATCATGGGAAATCCTGAAGCTTCCATGGGTTGCTCTCATGGGACCACTCAACTCTCTCACCAAGTTTCTCATCAGAAGCACTGTATGCACTCATAAAGGATCCCAAAGCACTTTACTTGTATTATCATCACGTAAAGAAGCCACTCAGTGTAATCTGTACTCATCCTCTAGCTCTCTACCGCATGTGGGTGTGGCAGAAACAGAAAATACAGTTGTCTCCTTCAGGACCGCTGTTGTCCCAGAAACCAGAAAACCTTGGTAAAAAAACTTTCAGTAATCTTTAACTGGTTCATCCTCACTAAAGGAAAACTACTTACACCAGAAGTCTTTCTACTCTGAGCTAAGAAAATTGATAAAGGTTACCCCAATCTTTTTCCATCAAGATACTCTCTATCTCTGGAGCCTTAATTAAACTAGAAGACAATACTTTCAATACTGTATGAAGAGAAAATTATTCTGTAGACTGGTGACTGCAGCCACCTTCTGAAGAGCCTTCCATTGTCTGGCCCTGCCTCAAATAATGTTTCAGATTAGAAAACAGAAGCACAATGTGATTATAGAAAGGTAGCAAGGAGATGAAACCCAGTGATTGTTCTGTAGCATGATATAAAAGAAAGAGCACAGGCACTTGAATCCCAGCTCTAAATTATACCAGGTTTGGGGCAAACGGCCCTACGTCTCTGAGCCTCAGTGTCCTTATCAATAAAATGGAAATAATAAGCTATTTTATAGGGTTGTTGCAATAATCACAAGTATGTAAGAGGAGGGAGGAATGAGCAGTTAGTGTTTAATGGGTACAGAATTTCAGTTTAGATGATGAAAAAGTTCTGCAGATAAATGGTGATAATGTTTGCAAAACAATGTGAAGGTACTTAATGCCACTAAACCGTACATTAAAAATAGTTAAAATAGGGGTGTAGTGGTTAAGTTCCCACGCTCCACTTTGGCGGCCCAGACTGTGCAGGTTTGGATCCCGGGTGCGGACCTACCCACTGCTTATCAAGCCATGCTGTGGCAGGCGTCCCACATATAAAATAGAGAAAGGTGGGTACAGATGATAGCTCAGGGCCAATCTTCCTCAGCAAAAAGAGGAGGATTGGAAACAGATGTTAGCTCAGGGCTAATCTTCCTCACCAAGAAAAAAAAAATAGTTAAAATGGTAAATTTCATTATGTATATTTTACTGTAATTTTTTTGTGTGTGTGAGATCAGCCCTGTGCTAACATCTGCCAATCCTCCTCTTTTTTTGCTGAGGAAGACTGGCCCTGGGCTAACATTCGTGCCCACCTTCCTCCACTTTATATGGGATGCCACCACAGCATGGCTTGCCAGGCAGTGCGTAGGTGCACACCCAGGATCCGAACCAGCGAACCCCAGGCCGCCGTAGCGGAGCGCGCGCACTTAACCACTTGTGCCACTGGGCCGGCCCCTACTGTAATTTTTTTTAAAGGTATGTAAGGCTCCTAGCACAGTGCCTGGCTCTTAGTAGGTGCTCAAGAAATGCTAGTCTTATTCCCCTTATAAAGAGCTTTAAATTAAAAAAAAAAAAAGGAGATAAAAGTCAAACAAAATCGTGCTCCTTTCCCTATTGAATTGTCAGAGGCTTTGACTCTCGGGTAAAGCCAGTCAGCACCAACACCAGGTAGTGCCACAGTAAGTTTCTGGGTAGGAGAAGGAAGGCTGTGTTAGTCATAATCCCTCTGGCATGTTCAGTTCCCAGTCCACCCCTACCCTGAATATCAATCGTACAGCCCCTAACTTCTTGCAAAGGAAGCTGGGAAGCTTACACCACTTCCAAGACCATACTCCAGGTCATGAGAACAAAAGCATTCCCAGTAGCAGCTGGTTGCTGTAAGCGGGAGAGAGACAAGACACTAGCGCTGAACACCAACTGGGTGGGTCTGGAGCCTGTTCCAGCCCCAGCATTAAACCCATCAGTGTCTCAGATGGTTTTAATGGCTGGATTTAATGGACACAGAGGACTGGAGTCTCAAAGGCCCGGTAAAGGAAGATTAAAAATGCACTTGTCTGCAGTTCAGGAAAAACAGTTAATGATTATGTGTTGTAAGTCATAAAATAGAGAAGTGGAAAAATAGATGACTTATCTCTAGGCATATTAGTACACTGGTTTTGATGGGCAGGCTTAATTAGATCTTGATGCAATATTCAGATAGATGATCATTAACATCCCTTGAACTTAGCTCAAGGAGAATGAAATACCTGGGGTACCAACATCCAATCAATTCCAAAACAACACTTACTTTAGGGTCTGAGCTCTTGAACTTTAACCTTTCCACCAACTCTATCATAGCCGCCTTCAGTCCGCCTGAGTCTTTGCTCTAGAAGAAAGAAAAGTCAGAGGTCATTAGACAGCATTTTGTTGCTCTCTCGAACACAAATAGCATTTCATGGGACAATGAAATGGAAAGCAATTTTTTCCTCTTATCAGCCAAGAGAACTAAACGACTAAGGAAAGCTGTGTTGCCCCTCTTTCTCTTCTCCATGGACAAAGCGGCACTGGACATAAATTGCCCACTGACCTGAGAGAACTATTGGAATGAAAATTAAATGCAATTTGTAAAGGCTGACTCACTGCTTCATCACAGGGCTCAATTGCGCCAGTGTCCACTGAGGGCCGAGGTTCTGCAGAAGAGATGTCTATGTTATGACCCAGTGATTTTTATTTTGAGCTTCCACATACCAAATACAGAACTTTGCAATATTAAAATATCCTTAGAAAAAGAAAAATAAAGAAAATGCCCAGAGATTTAATTGGAAATAGTATTACAGTGTGCTGGGTGAGTACAGGTTTTGCGTCAGACATACAAGCTTTCAAATTTTGGGTCTGTCATTAACTAATTGACAAACTCAGGCAAATTACTGACTTTCTTAAAACCTTCTCCCTCTTCTATAGAATGGGAATAATAAATAGTGTTGTTTTGAGGGTTTGTAAAGGAATTAGCACAGTGTGTGGCACATAGTAAGTATTCAATGTCACCTAAACTATTATTATTATTGTTGTTGTTATTGCATTGTAATGATTTAGAGTAGCACAGTCCAATAGAAATGTAATATAGCCATAAATGCAAGTCACATATTAATTTTAAGTTTTCTAGTAGCCACAAAAATAAAGTGAAATTAATTTTAATATATTTTACTTAACTCAGTATATCCAAAATATTATCATTGCAACATGTAATTTCAACAGGAGGTATGTTATATATTTTTTTCATATGAGGTCTTTGAAATCTAGTGTGTATTTCACACTTACAGTCCAATTCAACTTGACTAGCCACACTTCAAACGCTCCAAAGACATATATAGCTAGTGACTACTGAATTGGTCAGCACAGATTTACAGCACAGACTCTAGAGCCACATTGCCTGAATTCAAGTCCCAACTCTACCACTAGCTGTGTGACCTTAGGCAAGTCACTTAGCCTCTCTGTGCCTCGGTTTCTTTATCTGTAATATGAAGCTAATAATGTTACCTATATCATAGGATCCTAGTAAGATTAAATGAGCTAATATATGTCAAAGTGCTTAGAACAGGGCCTGGCACATGATAGACACAATAAATGTATGAGACATTTTTATTATTATTGTCTGACTCTCTCACAATGTTTTAAATTCCTTAAGGACAAGAATTACATCTTTTATCTCTGTATCTGTGCCCAGCATCAAGAAGGCGTTTGAAAAAGTCTGCTGAACAAATGAACATGCAATCTTAAGACATGAATGCCCTAATAATAATACATGTGGGGAGCACAATCTAAAATCACATGAATTAGTTTAGTTTCTTATCGCAATTCCTCTGTGGGACAAGGTAGCATTATCACCCTCATTTTACCAGTGACAAAAAAGAAGCATGAAGGAGTAAAATGACTGTCATTTTTATGGGGCAAGGGACAATAAAGAAGTACAATATAACATCTGACCGGGCAAGAGAAACAATAGAAAAAATAAACAAATGGGACTACATCAAACTAAAAAGCTTCTGCACAGCAAAGGAAACCATCAACAAAACGAAAAGACAACCTAACAATTGGGAGAATATATTTGCAAACCATACATCTGATAAGGGCTTAATCTCCAAAATATATAAAGAACTCATGCATCTCAACAACAAAAAAACTACCAACCCAATTAAAAAATGGGCAAAAGACCTGAACAGACATTTCTCCAAAGAAGATATACAGATGGCCAACAGACACATGAAAAGATGTTCAAAATCACTAACTATCAGGGAAATGCAAATCAAAACTACAATGAGATATCACCTCACGCCCGTCAGAATGGCTATAATTAACAAGACAGGAAACAACATGTGTTGGAGAGGATGTGGAGAGAAGGGAACTCTCATACACTGCTGGTGGGAGTGCAAACTGGTGCAGCCACTATGGAAAACAGTATGGAGATTCCTCAAAAAATCAACGATAGAACTACCATATGATCCAGCTATTCCACTGTTGGGTATTTATCCAAAGAACTTGAAAACACCAATTTGCAAAGGTACATGCACCCCTGTGTTCATTGCAGCCTTATTCACGATAGCCAAGACTTGGAAGCAACCTAAGTGCCCATCAAGGGACGAATGGATAAAAAAGCTGTGGTATATATACACAATGGAATACTACTCAGCCATAAGAAACGATGAAATCCAGCCATTTGTGACAACATGGATGGACATTGAGGGCATGATGCAAAGTGAAATAAGTCAGAGGGAGAAGGTCAAATACCGTATGATTTCCTTCATTAAGTAGTAGATAATAACAACAATAAACAAACACATAGGGACAGAGATTGGATTGGTGGTTACCAGAGGGGAAGGGGGGAGGGAGGAGGGTGAAAGGGATAATTGGGTACATGTGTGTGGTGATGGGTTGTAATTAGTATTTTGGTGGTGAACATGATGTAATCTATGCAGAAATAGAAGTACAATGATGTACACCTGAAATTTTTACAATGTTATAAACCAATGTTACTGCAATAAACAAAAAATTTAAAAAAAAAAAAGAAGTACAATATAAACAAACACTACAAATAACTGTTACTTAACACTGGCCTCAGAATCAGTGATATTTTCTAAATTTGCCGAACTAATTCTAAGTCTTCCAAAACAGGAAATACTTAGTAAGACCCCATCATACAGATTAAAATAGACTAAAGGCTAAATCTTTTTTCCCTCTAACTTCCTTTCTCTCCCAAGTCTATACAGCAAAAGTCTGATGTAACATGACCGACATCCACTTTAGATGTGCTCTCCAAACACAGCTTAGTTGACATTCCCATTCTAGCTGTGGTCCTAAATTTTAATAATTTGTATTTCTAAAATGATGGTTTACAACTCTCCAAATTTCTTCACCAATTTAAATCTTTAATCTTATAGTCTCACAGCAGACAGTTGGGAAAAGGAATCTGGAGGTCACGTATCAGGAAGCACGTGAGACCTGAACTCAAAAAAGGGTTAAGTTGCCAGACACAATCCCGCTTTTATGAGATGATCAGACAATAAAGTCTCTCTGGTGATATCATCCCTCTAACCCGCTTCTCATTGGCTGAACAAGCAGGTCACTTGTCCCTGGAAAGCTCTCTCCCCCCACATCCCAGCTGCCAGCGCCCATTTTAAGCTCTTCAGCAAGAGCCCTGATATATCATGACTTTCCCCCTGGCTCTAGAGAACAGAAAGGAATGCACCAAACTGTGCCTTAAAACATTCAGAAAAGAAACAGGACAACAAAGGAATCCCTAAGAAGCAGAGAGCCTGTCTGCAGGCAGATGCGCCTTGTGTAGAGAGATAAGGGAACCCTTAAGCCTTCTTTCATAAAAATACAGCGTGTCAGCAGAATCCTTCCTCCTTTTCACAAAGCATCAGCAGCACTGCCTACCCAGGGCAGAGACAAAGGAGAGGCAGAGACTCTCCCTTCAGGAAAGGCACCCATTCTACCTCTCCACCCCAATCTCTGTGAGAATTATTCTGAAGATTAACTGGGGTCTATATTGAGCCACCCTCTAACTGGGTGGTGAAGAAAACCTTTTTCAATGGCTTTATTTTGGCTGAGGAAGATTGGCCCTGAGCTAACATGGAGGACCCTGGCCCCAAATCCACCTCCTTTCCTTTCCCACACCCCCCAGTTCCTTCCTACCCCTCAAGGGGCCTGTAGACAGGGGTTCAAGTTAGTGCACCCAAGCTCTGGGAACATCCCTCTCGAGCAGTCACCCCTTGGCCACACCTGGGACCTAGGAATGCACATATCAGAGGTGAAGTCTAATGGCTTGATCCATGTTTGGGAGGACAGACTCAGAAAGAGGCTCTGCAGGCCCTGGAAGCAAGTTCAGGACATTTCATCAGGTAATTCTTGGGTCCTGCATACTTGGAGAGTGTTCTAGAAGGGGATGGGCATGGCCAAAGGAAGGGTCCCCTAAAGCATGGTGCATAGGGCAGGGGCACAGGGTTGTCTAGATCTAAGGTGGTATTTGAGTATGAGTGTTTCCAAACCATAAGGTGGTATCATGTTTTAATTAATTTGTTGGCAGAATGCAGTCATCAGTCAAGAGGGAACAGAACAGGAAATTGTACTCTCACACTTTCCTACTGTGGTAGAATAGAACAGCTGCTTCTGAAACCTGCCTTCTAATTGAGAAGTGGACCAGGATAGTAACAAAAGGCAGGCTAATTCTAACCTTGCAGACATTTGGTTCCATATATGGGCAGATTCTACGTCAGTCCTTGGGGCAAGCACTCAGAGTGGCAAAGAAGTGACAGTCTCCTGACTTTGCTTTTCTCCACCTCCATCCCACCCAATGCATTCCAAAGACACAGAAGTTCAATGTGAGCATATCTTGTTTATGCACTTCTTTCCTCCCCCAAGAGAGTGTAGAATAAAAAGAGACAAGTGCTATGTTGTAACACCCACTCCTCAAAGTTTGATCAATCTGTGGAGATGTGAGATACTTCACAAAAGCCAGCTCCTAGGGATGAGTAATAATGCCTTACACTTGAAGGTATCCTTTACTCTCCAAAGCACTTTCATATGCTTTTTCATTGGCATTACACAATAAACCTAAAAGGTAGTGTATTCTCACTTTACAGCTGAGAAAATGACTGGTGGGAATCAAATGAGGAACCTGAAAATCACAGAGCTCATACATTCTTTCACTGGCATTTCCCAAGAACATAATAACTAAGAGGTAGTATATTCTCAGTTTACAATGAAGAAAAGTGGTTCTGTGGAAGTCAAAAGATGTCCCCCAAATCACAGAGCCACTCGGTAGCAAAACCACGATCAGAAAGATCCAAATGAAAGAGATTTATAACGTATACAATGGAAGAGGTTGGT